TGGGGACTTTAGATCCAGAGAGGGAGAGGGGCTGTGTGTTGACAACCAAGGGGCAGGCTTGCAGGGTATACCCTTTGGATGGTTGATGATGCATGGAGGAGATTGTAACCATGGCAATGAAATGATATCCGATAGGATGAATGTAAAGCTAATGTTCTCCCATGTAAACTATTACATAATTCACAATAAAACATTAAAAAAAAAAAAAAAAGTAGGAGCCCTGGTGGCACAGTAGTGAAGCACTTGGTTGCTAACTTAACAGTTGGTGGTTTGAAGCCATCCAGCAGCTCTGTGGAAGAAAAACTTGGTGATGTGCTCCTGTAAAGATTATAACCTAGAAAACATCTAGGTCAGACCTACTCTGACACATGGGGCTGCTATGGGTCAAAATCAACTAGTGAGCATCTACCAACAATATATACAAATTACTTAGAAGTACCATGCTATTATTAAATTACAAATCCTATAAAACATTTGTAAACACAGACAGTTCAAAAAAAATGGGTGAAATGAAAAGTAAAGAAAGCCTCCGGTATTTCTATGTCCATTATCTTATTATGAACCCACTGGGATACCTGCACTCAACTTTGAAGATGTCTCCTTTACATCATGTACTTTTTTTTATCATGTGCATTGACTTTATCATTTAGTCTACCTGAAAGATGTGCTTCTGCTAAGGCAGAGATTATTTGTCATCCCATTACTGAAGGACACTTAGGTTAGTGGCCGGTTTAGTGCTGGAACAGGGTTGCAGTGGTTATCAGTATACCTGGACAATTCTCTGAATATAGCTAGTCCCTCCTTTTTCTTTTTTGAAGGATCAAGGAATAGAAATCCAGAGAGGGAAAGTGTGTTGGCCAGGATCATGCAGAACTAGGACTAGAACCCAAGCTCCTGACTCCCAGGGGCTTACCCACGGGTCCACCCAGGCCATCACTAAAGAGACTGGGTGCTCACAGTGGCTCCCCTTCAGGACGTGGTGATGTGGCTGGCCAGGTGCCAGCCTGTGAGCTCTAGCAGAACAGAAAGGAGCTCAGTTGGCTGCCTTGTCCAGGGGGCTAGAACTTACTGTGGGAGCTGATGTATTCGGGACACTTGCCAGGTCCCAGGGGAAGGGCCTCCTCATAGTAGTCCTCGGGAGGAGGCTTGTTGGGGAGCGGTGGAGGCAGGTCGGCTGCCTGGAGGAGAACAAAGATGTGTGAGCCCTGGAAGTCAACTAGAAGCAGAGCTGAGGGACGAGGGACAAGGGACACAGGGAGAGAGGAAGGGAAGGAGGCACTGAAGAGAGAGTCAGAGCTCCTAGAAACAGGACCCAGTCTGACTGTGAAGCATAGTGGCAGAAGAGCAGAGCAGGGAAAACTCGAGTGTTTATTTGGTCCTGTGCTTCCTACTCCTATTTGCTAGGCATCGGGGCTCCTACATAATGCCTAAAAGTTATGTAGATTGCCACAGATCAGTAGTTAGACTTTTGATTGAGCACACATAAAATTACTGAAGCCATGACATTTACTATCATCTCCTATGAGTGTGAAAGCTGGACAATGAATAAGGAAGACCAGAGAAGGAGA